TAACACCCCTCCTTCAGAGTGCAGGCACTGTACTTCCCATCTCCAGGACTCAAGTCCGGCCTGCCGGTTTCCCTGAACCCCTTCATAAATGTTACTTTGCTCACACTCCAACAGCACGTCAAGTATTAAAAACCATTTGTCTCCATTCACTCCTATCAAACACGCTCACGCATGCCTGCTGGAAGTCCAAGCCCCTCGCACACAAAACCTCCTTTACCCCCTCTCTCCAACCTTTCCTAGGCCGACCCCTACCCCGCCTTCCTTCCACTACAGACTGATACACTCTTGAAGTCATTCTGTTTCGCTCCATTCTCTCTACATGTCCGAACCACCTCAACAACCCTTCCTCAGCCCTCTGGACAACAGTTTTGGTAATCCCGCACCTCCTCCTAACTTCCAAACTACGAATTCTCTGCATTATATTCACACCACACATTGCCCTCAGACATGACATCTCCACTGCCTCCAGCCTTCTCCTCGCTGCAACATTCATCACCCATGCTTCACACCCATATATACACATATATACACATATAAAGTCACTGGACACTTCCCAGAACTGCTACAGCTTCTGTAAAGCTTGTAGTTGTTGTGTGGGGGGTGGACTTGTAAATATGCTGAGTCACTGGCCTAATTAGTGTCACAGTGACAAATAACACCACCACTCACCACCCTCACTGCCTGTCAACACCCATCCCTTCCTCCCCACCCCACCAACCCACATGGAAATAAGTCACTGTCTGAATTTTTTGAGTTATCCTTGGTTGATGGTCTCCTTCCTTTCTTCCCTCATTCCTTCCTTTCTTCCCTCATTCCTTCCTTCCCTCCTTCCTCTCATCTCTTCCTTCCTTCCTTCTCATCTCTTCCTTCCTTCCTTCCTTCTCATCTCTTCCTTCCTTCCCTTTCTTCTACCTTCCCTTTCTTCTACCTTCCTTCCTTCAGGTTGGTTTCCTGAGCATTGCTTTCGATCAAAAACTCCTCAAAACCATGAAATTCATCTTCACTGACACTTCCATCTGTGTTTGAACTGTCACTTGGGAGCAAAAGAGCCCCAATTAGCCGAGGAGTTTCTTACCACTAGACATGAACAAGTTGACCCATGCATGTCAGGAGAATTGATAGGGAATAATTAGTAAAGAAAGCGAATGCCAGACTGAAGTTCCTGTATAGACAAGCACAGTGTCTACCTACTGAGGCTCGCAGGACCCTATGTCTAGCCCTTATACAATGCCATATGGATTACGCTTGCTCTTCATGGTACTCTGCCTTGACAAAAAAACTGAAAGATAGACTGCAAATCACCCAGAACAAAATAGTAAGATTCATCCTGGGGCTGGGACCAAGAGAACATGTAGGCCAGAATGAATTACAGCAGTTGGATATGCTGAATGTTGAACACAGAGTAAAACAACTGAAGCTAAATCATGTTTATAAAATTGCTCACAAACAGTGTCCAGAATATCTTGCTGTCAATTTTGTCAAGGTTGGGAACCAAAGCAATCATAGTACTAGGGGGGGAGAGCACAACTTCGTAGTACCCACAGTCATTGGCCAGGCTTCAAACACCTTTTATTGTACAGCAATAAAGGAATGGAACAGACTGCCTGCACATGTCAAAGCCAGTCATAGCATGAACCAGTTCAAGAAGAGTGCCAAAAGGTGTCTGATGAATGTAGCTACAGAAAGGGAGGGGAGTGATTTTCTATTTTTTAGCTAACACACGTGTAAATTTTACCTTATTCCTAGTAATGACCCTCGTATTGTAGATAGTCTTTTTAGTATGATAATAAGATGTTATCTTCATTATAGAATAATAAGAAAATATTATAATAAGGTAAAAGGACCCCAATGGAAATAAGTCACTCTGTCTGACTTCTTTGGGTTATCCTAGGTTCTTTACACATATGCTGCTATGTACGATAATTCTATGTAACTGTATTTGTGTATACCTGAATAAACTTACTTACTTATTTACTTATTAATGGCTTTCCCACAATGCACCACTGGGTCCCCGATTTTTTTTATACTGCGCACACCCATTCTCACATCCAGGACTACCAGCCTTTTCCTGCTTGATTTGAGGATGCTAGAATTTATGCTACTAGTAAGGCACCAACCCTGAAAGGGTTAATAAATGTATGGAAGAGGGTAAGGTACCTAGGGATTGGCAGAGAGCATGCATAGTTCCTTTGTATAAAGGCAAAGGGGACAAAAGAGAGTTCAAAAATTATAGGGGAGGAAGTCTGTTGAGTATACCTGGTAAAGTGTATGGTAGAGTTATTATTGAAAGAATTAAGAGGAAGACATAGAGTAGGATAGCAGATGAACAAGGAGGCTTTAGGAAAGGTAGGGGGCGTGTAGACCAAGTGTTTACAGATTAGTCATCTGTTGTGGGTCTCATCCTGGGAATAGGGGGGTAGTATACCATAGATAGGGCTGGGCTCTGACTTGAACTGAGGTAGGATAACAGCTCATAGCCTGTAAAATTTATTCGTATAAAAAAAATGCCCAAGGAAGTTCATTAAGAAACTGGAGAAAGTCCAGAAGTATGGAATAAGGCTTGTTCCTGAGTTAAGAAGTCTCAGCTCTTAGGAGAGGCTAATAGAACTGAATCTAACAACACTGGGGTAGAGAAGAACCAAGGGAGATATGATAACATACAAAATACTCAGGGAAATTGATAGTGTAGACAGAGACAGGCTGTTTAGCAGGCAAGAAATGGGAAAGGTGGAGACATGGCTGGAAGTTAGACACAGATGAGCCACAGGGATGTCAGGAAGTGTCTCTTCAGGGGCCATCTTTTTCATTTCGTTCACCTCCTTTATTTTTCACCCGATTTCTTTTATTTTTGGTGTACGTTTAGAAGTGAATATGTAAATTAATATGACAAAGTTTCATTATGATTGGCCAAAAAACAACAGAAAAAAAATATTTACTGATTTTGACATATCGCAGCATGACATAACAAATTGGCACTCCGAGTGGCGCTTCCAACAATCCCAACTGTTAGAATACATCTAACACGACATTTTGGTGTATCCATTTCATCTAATATATCTTATTATCATCGTAAAAAAAAATACATTTCATAGGCTTTTTTTGGCATTCACCAAAGTATCTGCCTTTTACCTCCCACAAAATCAAAAATATTTGAGATATTCCAAAAAAGACAACTTCAAAAAATCAAACACACTTTGTTTTATATTGTCTGTGAAAATCATTTCAATACAATCATTAATAATGGCGCAGTGACAAGCAATAGACCAAAGTCTTACTTTCGAGATATTCAGGTAAACGCGTGGACTAGCTAATTACGTCAAGAAATTAAAAAAAAATCACGAAAATCGTGCTACTTTGGGCTTTTTTATGCAATATAAGTGATTTCTTCTCCATGGGGAAGTGGAACAGAATTCTTCCTCCGTAAGCCATGCGTATTGTAAGAGGCGACTAAAATGCCAGGAGCAAGGGGCTAGTAACCCCTTCTCCTGTATAAATTACTAAATTTAAAAAGAGGAACTTTCGTTTTTCTTTTTGGGCCACCCTGCCTTGGTGGGATACGGCCGTTTGTTGAAAAAAAAAAAGTGATTTCTTATTGTTTTCCGTGTACAGTACTCCATTTTCTGTGGTGCTACCAGAGGTAACATAGAAAACCTGTCTCTTATAGTGATGATCTATTGTAATCCTTTTCATCATGGTCAGCCACCACCCTCCGGGTATAACATACAAATATTATTATTTTGGCTGGCTTTCTTGTGCGTTTATCCAAGTTATCTTATGCATACTATCATTATTAAATAAATGATATAAGCAGAAAAAGGATATTAGTAATAATAGCGTCAGTTAAGACATCTTGTGAGTGGTGAGCAGACTGATGTCATCGGCAACTGGTTATTGCACCATCATGCAAGCTCCTCCCACATGGTAATGATATTAGTGGTAAATATAGTGTATTAGAAGGAAAAATAGAAAATTAAGAAACAAAAAATCTACAAAAAATTCACCTCGCACTTGCGCATATATTTACCTGGCGGGTCGTCACCTGACATGTTTCAAGTAGCTATAATTTGCTTTAGAAACATCATATTATGATGGGGTTTTCACCAAAATGTTCCCAGATACTTACACTATTTTTCTGTAAACAAAACACAAAATCATATTTTTTCACATAATTATTTTGACCACGTCAGAAACTGACCAAGGTGGCCCCTTCAGTCTCAGGGTAGTAGGAAAGTGGAATAGTCTCAGTGACAAAGTGGTGGAGGCAAGCTCTATACATAGCTTTAAGAGGAGGTGAGGCCCACAAGGCTAGGAGGGAGTAAGTCTGAAAAGTGTCGAGTTGAGAAGTAGGGGCCAGGATCTGAGAATCAACCACTGCAACCTCAAAAAGGAGAGCACATACATTCTATACACTACATTCAGAAGGAAATAAAGAACAACCCCAGTGAAAAGCATGGGTGCCATAGGCACAGTTAGCAAATATTGTGTCAACATCAGTAACATAAGACTTCCACCTACTATCAGTAGTTACCAGAAATAAAGCCTCAGCAAAGGTAGAAGTTTTTAAGAAGAAGCCGGACTACTACCTTCAAGTGCCAAATCACCCAGGCTTTGATGGCTCTGTAAGCCAGTAGGCTGCTAATAGCAACAGACAACCTGGTTAATGAGGTAATGAACAAGGCTGGTAGAAAGCCTCATGTAACTGGTCACAGGTGTATCATATAGGTATGCTTTCATTGACTAATAGGAGGAAACTACATATGACGTTAAAAAATTATTTGAAATATTAATAGCATAACCAAAAAGCACTGATATACATTGTAAGTATTTAAGCATCGAGTCTATATCTTAATTTGTGTGTGACTGCCCTCTACCCTTCCCTGAAAATAGTTGAGGCTATTTCCTTTCCATTTTATAAATACTTCAAGACAGTTCATCTATGTAGTATATATGTGATTTCAAACAGATTATCTTTTTATTGTTTAACTTTGTTTTAATTACAGTTATCTGAAATATCTGGAATAGAAGCAGAAAACATTGAATTTGCTAAGGGTAAAGGAACATTTCCATGCGACATGTCTGTTATGGACATAACCAATGACCTTGATTGGACCGTTCGCAGTAGCCAGTTGGACCAACGACCATTTTACATTTTAGATGATGGTTCTATGATTTACTATAGGTAAGATCTTATTTTTATGAATTTCATCCAAAATGTAAGTTTCTTTTCGCTCCCACTGGTGGTGATGGTATTTTCATTGGTATTGTCTTGGTTGAACATTTTATTCATAAAGCTGTTCTATGTATATTTTTATTATTGTAATAGACCTACCCAGTCAAGATGCCAGACACCACCAAATTCAGAAAGATATTTTATTTCAGCATGATACAATGTTTGTACAAAGGTTAATGACATTTATGTGTGCATGCAGATAAGTCATAAGTGTTTTAGCTTGCTCATTAGTATGACCTTTTACAGAAGTAAAATAGTAATGAAAATATAGTAGAATTAATAGACTATTATACTAAAAAACTAAAAGTGGACATCCTAAAGTTTCCAGCATACCAAAAAAAAAAGGTTGTAGATGCCAATGACTATCAGCCAGTGACTATCAATAGTGGTCAGCATAATAGTAAATGATACAAGCATGTTCATTATGTACAAAGATAGGTTTTATTTCAGTATGGGCCTCAGTGGAAATAACTGAAGTACAGTGTTAGGCAAGCAGCATTTGTCTGGCACATATCCTATCCTCCATCTAAAAAAGAGAATGTGAGCAACAACAACTGTCTTGTGTTACCAGACATCAACTGTCTGCTTTTTTTTATTTGATGGTGGTTAATTGTGTGTAAATTTAGGGTAAGTTAGAGTAACCTAACCTAACCTAGATAGAATAAATAAATAGTACATACAGTAGAACCTCTACTTACAAGTGCAGCCACGTGCGAGTTTTTCCAGATACAAGCATCTGCTCGGTCGATTTTTTGCTTCCAGACGCGAGCAAAATTTCCAGATGCGAGCGGGCCTCAAGGGAGGTTAATTGACACTGGTGAGGGGGCTCTTGCTCTTGATCTAGGGAATTGGATCTCAGTTGTTTGTTGGACTATCTTATTGAAACTTGGGTAATGTTTGATGAAAAGATGCTTCTTAACTTACACTAAAAATGAAAGAAATCAGACCATAAATAATGGAGTTCACTTCTCAGCCTTTAGCCTCCCCTTAGCGGTATAATTTTGTATGGTTTTTATGGTTGTATTCTCGTTTTATTTGGTCTCGTGTGATAGAATGGAAGATATACTACAAAAATAAATATGATTTTAATTGGTTTCACGATGAAAAGTACCTTGAAATTGAGCTCAAAATAGCAGAAATATTAGATTCTTTGGCGACATCATGAGGTACCAGTGGCAGACATGAAGCAGCAGTGGCAGACAACATGAAGCAACAGTGGCAGACATCATGAGGTAGCAGTGGCAGACAACATGAAGCAGCAGTGGCAGACATCATGAGCAGTGACAGACATCATGAAGCAGCAGTGGCAAAGTGTAGAATTAAAAGTGTAGCAATTAAGTATAGCATTAAGAGTGTAGCAGTTAAGTGAAGCATTAAGAGTGTAGCACTTATAAGTGACTGTCTGACATTTTTGGGTTATCCTAGGTTCTCTACACATGTAGTTATGAGCAGGAATGGCTGCTGTGGTGGCCCAATAAACCCCAACAACAACAATGGCTGCTGTCACCACCACTAGCCACATACCTAATGACATGTATTTTATTCATTCTAGTGTATATATCATGTTTCTATGTTATTAATATTGTTCATTATGCCATATTACATGAATTGTGATAGATAAATAAGCTGTAAAGATGATGATAGGGAAATTATTAAGGTATTTTCTCATGCCTGGAATTCCACTGGAACGAATTAATTCCATATCAATTAGACTCTGCAAACGAGCAAATCCGATTGCGAGCAAGGTCATGGAACGGATTAAACTCGTAAGCAGAGGTTCCACTGTATATGTATTTGTTAAACATGCAAGATTTCAGGTACATCTTGCTACTTCTACTTACACTTCAGTCACACTACACATACATGTACAAGCATATACGTATATACGCACCCCTCTTGGTTTTCTTCTATTTTCTTTCTAGTTCTTGTTCTTGTTTATTTCCTCTTATCTCCACGGGGAAGTGGAACAGAATTCTTCCTCCATAAGTCATGCGTGTTGTAAGAGGCAACTAAAATGCCAGGAGCAAGGGGCTAGTAACCCATTCTGTATAAATTACTAAATTTAACCCTTTGACTGTCGCAAGCCCCTTTCTGAAACTGTCATTCTATGTTGCAAAATTTTGGGAAAAAAAAAAATTATTGAGAAATGACAGAGAATCTTTTTCCGATGGTAATGACACCAAAAGTATGAAATTTAGTCGAAAACTCACGGAATTACGCTCCTGTGAAATTAGCGGTCTCAGTGACATATATGCAACGGCGATTTTGCCAACTTTGAGCCCTGTTTTTGGCCAATTCTGTTGTTCCAGTTGACCAAACTCATAGCTCTTTCTTTAGAACTCCATTTTTTCTGTCAGTTGAGTACAAGAAACTGCTCATTTACTGATATGAACTACCCAATAAAGTGGTCAGAAATTGGCAATTTGGCCAATTTCATGCAAATTAAAAAAGATGCCAATTTTAAAATAGAGTCCAGAATAAACAATGCAGACATTCTTGGCACTAAAATAACATATCCTTTGTTCATTAGTCACGTCTCTAGGCCCCTCTTATATTAATATTGCTTTCTATTTTAATATTTTATTCATACAAAAAAATACAAAATTTACTGCTATGCGGACTAATGCATTATTATAAAAATGGTATAAATAATATCAGTGCACTAGTGAAAGAATATTAGACTCCCCATTTGACGTGTATTGGACGTGTGGTGTGATTTGCTTACTCCTGAACATTGGTAAAAATCAAACATTTCCGCAATTTCAATTTCAAGGTCATTTTCATCATGAAACTAATCAAAATCATCTCTATTTCTGTAATATGTTTTCCATTTTATCACGTGAGACCATGAAAACAAGAATACAGTGATAAATACTATATGAAAATACACCTCAAAGTCAGCATTTTAATCCAAAAAAATGGTCTTTTTTTTTTTTATTATTAGTATTATGCACTGCATGCTGCAGGATTTTTTGTGGTGCACACTGACCACACATACCCATTCTCTCACATGTGGGCCTACCAGCTTTCTCCTTCTTGATTTGAAGCCGCTAGAATTTACACGTATTAATATGTCCGAAACAGTGGCACGTAAGACGTATGTGTACGACCAAAACAGTCAAAGGGTTATAAAGAGAAACTTTCGTTTTTCTTTTTGGGCCACCCTGCCTTGGTGGGATATGGCCAGTTTGTTGAAAAAAACCAATGTGTATTTGGAAAATAAAGGTTGGATATGAAAAGTGGATTATAGGAAGTGTATATGCACCTGGAGAAGAGAGAAGTGTAGAGGAGAGAGAGAGTTTTTGGGAAATGTTGAGTGAATGTGTGGGGAGTTTTGAACCAAGTGTGAGAGTACTTGTGGTTGTGGATTTTAATGCTAAAGTAGGTAAAAATGTTGTGGAGGGAGTAGTAGGTAAACTTGGGGCACCAGGGGTAAAGGAAAATGGGGAGCCTTTAATTGAGCTATGTGTAAAAAGAGGTTTTGTAATAAGTAATGCATATTTTATGAAAAAGAGGATAAATAAATATACATGGTATGATATAGCACATAATGAAAGTACAGTAGGGTCCTGCTTTTCGGCGTTTCGCCTTACAACATTCCACTAATATGGCGATCTCAGATTATGACCAAAACTTTCTATACGGCAAGTGGTCTTTCAAATACAGCACGGGGAACCCGGTTTGTTTACATTCTCCATGAGCACATCTCTCTATTATGTAATAATAATCACTCTTGGGTACATTAAATGTCTAATTTTATGTCACTATAGACATTTTCATTAATCCATCTATTATATTTTCTTCAAAATTATATAAGAAACACGTTACATAGCATATAAACGTGCTGTTTATATGCTATGGAGGTGTGGTTGCTGGGTGGAGGGGAAACATTGTTATACTAATAATAATCACTCTTGGGCACATAAACCTCTTGACTGTCGCAACCCCAAATCCTGAGGTGTCTCCTGGTGTCGCAAAATTTCCAGAAAAAAAAAAATTCTTATGAAATTATAGAGAATCTTTTCTCGATTGTAATGACACCACAAGAACGAAATTTGATGGAAAAGTGACAGAATTACGCTCTTGCGAAGTTAGCGACCTTGGCGATATTTACGAATCGGCGATTTCGCCCACTTTGAGCCCCATTTTCGGCTAATTCCATTGTTCCAGTCGACCAAACTCGTAGCTATTTCTTTAGAACTCCATTTTTTTTATCGATTATGTACAAGAAACTGCCCGTTTACCTATTTCAACTACCCAGTAACGTGGTCAGAAATTTGCAATTTGGCCAATTTCACGAAAATTAAAAAATATGACAATTTCAAAATAGGGTCCAGAATGAACAATGCAGACATTCCTGGCTCTAAAATAACATTTTCTTTGTTCATCAGTCACGTCTCCAGGCCCCTCTGATATTACTCTTGCTTTCTATTTTGAATTTTTGTTCAAACAAAAAATAGATTTACTCTTATGCAGACTACTGCAATATTGTAATAAGTGTATAAATAATGTCAACCCATTCATGACTGCATATTAGAATGGCTACTTGGACATTTATTGGAAAATGACATCATTTGTTTACTTTTGAACATCAGCAAAAATCAAACATTTCCCCTACTTTGAGCTCCATTTCAAGGTTCTTTTCATAGTAAAACCAATCAAAATCACCTCTATTTCTATAATATGCTTTCCATTCTATCAATTGAGACCAAGAAAACGAGAATACAACAATAAATACTATACGAAAATAGACCACAAAGTTAGCATTTTAATTAAAAAAACCGTCTGAGTTTTTTTTTCTCATTATGCACTGCGTGCTGCAGGATTTTTTTTATATGGTGCACACTGACCCATTCTCTCACATGTGGGCCTACCAGCTTTCTCCTGCTTGATTAAAAGCTGCTAGAATTTATGAATATATATACGTCAAAAACGCTGGCTCGTAAGAT